GCCTCGGCCTCCCAAAGTGCCGGGATTACAGGCTTGAGCCACCGCGCCCGGCCTGTAATTCATCTTTATAACTTCTTCACCAGCTTTAGGATGGATAGTTGTATCACAAAGGATTTGCCTGTAGTCCTAATTTATAGTTTTCCCTGAATCATATTACATGTCTGAAATTTAAATACCATCTCTTTAGAGTTATCAGATGTGCTTAAGCTAATTAAAACCCTTTGTAATATTAGGTTTTATGCTCACTTCCTCCAGTCTTTGAGCATATTGTACTCAGTATATTTCAAGAAGTTCAAGTAGACTTCATTTGTGTTACATGGCTTATAACCAGGTAATCTTCTTGTACCATAATGACAAAGTGAAACAAAACCACATGTGTATATGGTCCCTTTTTAGGGGAAGTGATGTCAGTCCTCTGTTGAGAGAGAGAGATTTCTTCATTTACCATAAAGCTTACCTCAGAGCTTTCATCTGCTTGTTCTTTTCTGTATACTAGGTCCTTATGGGAATATTGCCCAGTATTTTAATATATAAATGGAATTTTAAGTAAAAGTGAGAATCTTATTTTAAGATTCAACTGGGGTGACAGTAACATGGACCAAAGTTTCTTTGCAGGACTACATTTTCACATTTGTAGATGATGAAAAAGTATATCACATCTTACTCCTTTGCCAAATGGCAAGTTTCTTTTGACAGTGGTTATACAATGTAACCCTGTTTCAGAAATGTTAAAAAAAAAAAAAAAAAAAAGTTGTTGATTCTACGAGTTTAAATATGGAAGTATTGAAGATGAGGAAATTAGAACCTAGTATAAAATTATACAAGGTGGGATAAAAGAAAAGAATCGTAATCATTTACCGGGTGCTTATTTTATGCCAGGTACTATGGTCAGGAATTTATCCATATTCATCTAATCTTTATAAGCCCCACCCCAGTAAAATTTATATTACTGTCCCTCTTTTGCTAGTGACAGACTAAGCTGAGGGATGATATAGAACTTAATCAGGTCACACAGACAGTGAATGATAGAACCAGAAAATAAAACTCAAATCTGGCTGATCTCAAAGCCATGCTTTCAACAATGGTATGTATCATCTAAAAAAAAAAAAAAAAAAACCCTGTGGTGACCTACTCACCATAATATTTACATTTTATTGAGCATTAACTGTGTGCTAGGAAATGTGACAAATGCCTTATGTAGAGTATCTCATTTGAAGAAACACATTGTAAGATTGAACTAGGTGTTCCAGAGATTATAGTATGATGATGTAGCTCCGAAAGTATATAGATCTCAGACCATAGAAATTTCACTCTGTTCCCAGAAGGGAAAAAAGAAATGACAGAGATATAAAAGAATTTTTTCCAAGCTATTAAGTGGTCTCTGAATAGCAAGTTGTAATATATAGGTTGAGTGTCCCAAATCCAAAAAATCAAATCCAGTGAGTTTCAAAAACTGAAACTTCTTGAGTGCTGACAGTGTTTAAAGGAGATGCTTATTAAAGCATTTCAGATTTCAGTGTTTGGATTTAGATGCTGAAGCAATAAATTATAATGCAGACACTTCAAAGTTTTAAAAAAAAAATATTGGGTGCCTGTAATCCCAGCACTTTGGAAGGCCAACGTGGTAGGATCACTTGTGTCTAGGAGTTCAAGACCACCCAGGCAACAAAAAAATTTCAAAAAACTTGAAAAAACACAGAAGAAAGAAAAAAATCCTAAACATTTCTGATTCTTAGCGTTTCAGAGAAGGAGCACTCAACCTGTACTGTGTTTTAATCTCCTAGGAACATACTCTTTTAAGAGCCAGGTAGCCGGGCGCGGTGGCTCACGCCTGTAATCCCAGCACTTTGGGAGGCCGAGGCGGGTGGATCACGAGGTCAAGAGATCGAGACCCATCCTGGTCAACATGGTGAAACCCCGTCTCTACTAAAAATACAAAAAATTAGCTGGGCATGGTGGCGCGTGCCTGTAGTCCCAGCTACTCAGGAGGCTGAGGCAGGAGAATTGCCTGAACCCAGGAGGCGGAGGTTGCGGTGAGCCGAGATCCCGCCATTGCACTCCAGCCTGGGTAACAAGAGCGAAACTCCTTCTCAAAAAGGCCAGGTATTCTGAGTTAAGCAAACCTTGGCAAGGTTAAGAAATCTGTACAGTTTGTGGTAAATTTTGTGTGCATAGGTATGTGCCTTATATTTGTAAGATTAATATGAACATTAGAAATCAGGAAGAATATAATGTAACATTGCACTGTTTTCTTATAGCCACTTTTCTAAAACTAAATATTCTTTTTTTTAGGTCCCGATCTCACAGCAAGAATCCGAAAAGGTAGGTGTATTACATAAGACACATACAAGTAGTGAAGGTGTCTTTTTCAGAGGTAGTTTTTATAGATTAAATGGTCTTTAAAAAATTTTCTTTTTTGGCCGGGCATGGTGGTACACAGTTGTAATCCCAGCTACTCGGGATGCTGAGGCCGGAGAATTGCTTGAACCTGGGAGGCAGAGATTGCAGTGAGCCAAGATTGTGCAACTACACTCCAGCCTGGGTGACAGAGCGAGACTCTGTCTCAAAAAAATTTATGTATATATAGTTTGAAATCGTTAGATGCTCGGAGTACATATGTAAAAAGATTAAGTTTAAAAAAATAAATTTGGATGATATATTTAGGAAACACTTTCTAAGAGGTTGTGCCTATTGAAAATACAAGTAGGTTATGGTTGGATAAAATTTTGATACATCCACTGTGGGATAAGCAAAACCAAATGTTTAGTATACCTTCCAGTCTTTACGTTATGTGAGCTTGTTATGAGTTTATTGCTCATTCCTTTGAACGGTGATCACAGAAAGCTTTTCAGAGAGGCATTCGCAGCCTTGAAGAGCAAGACAATACTTTTTTTGACTTTCAGCATTAAAATTTGGGGTTTGAAACCTTTTTTTAGTTTTTGCTAGTTTGTGATTCATTTTTTGTCTGAGAAAGGCAGGGAAATATGTTGTACTTCACTTTTTCTCAGTTCTTCACTTGCCATTCTCATTCTGATCATTGAACTTTTCTTCACGGATCCATTCCCACCTAGAATGCTCTTTCTCAGTCTTTTCTAAATTCTACCCTTCCTCTTGTTCAGATCACATCTTCTTTTTGAAACCTTCTGAGTACTCAGCTCCAGAGACTATTTTCCAAGAAGTTTTCCTTAAAAAGTAGAGAATTTGTTGTTATAAAAGAAAAATTTGGCTGAGTGCAGTGCCTCACGCTTGTAATCCCAGTACTTTGCGGAGGCCAAGGCAGGCGGATCACCTGAAGTCAGGAGTTGAAGACCAGCCTGGCCGACATGGCAAAAAACTTCATCTCTACTAAAAATACAAAAATTAGCCAGGTGTGGTGGCGGGTGCGTGTAATCCAGCTACTTGGGAGGTTCAAGTGTAAGACGCACTTGAACTTGGGAGGTAGAGGTTGCA